TATACAAGGGATCTTATCAAGAAGTTCAATGTTGATCAGAAGTCATCCGTTTCTGTCCCCATGAGCACATCCACCAAACTTGATATGGATGTAGATGGAAAGGATGTAGATCAAACTCTCTACAGAGGGATTGTCGGATCTCTACTTTACCTTACTGCAAGCTGTCCGGATATCTCATATGCAGTAGGTGTTTGTGCCAGATTCCAGTCAAAGCCAAAGGAAAGCCATCTGATAGCAGCTAAAAGGATTCTCAGATACCTCAAGGGAACTCAGAACATGGGTTTGTGGTATGCTAAGAGCAATTCATTTGAGTTAGTGGGATACTCAGATTCTGACTTTGCCGGATGCAAAGTTGACCGGAAAAGTACATCTAGTACTTGTCAATTCATTGGTGGAAATCTTGTTTCTTGGTTCAGTAAGAAACAAAACTCCATTTCTACATCTACAGCAGAAGCAGAGTACATTGCAGATGGTAGTTGTTGTGCTCAAGTTTTGTGGCTAAAGCAACAACTACTGGACTATGGAGTCAAAACAAAGGAAGTGACAATCTTTTGTGACAATCAAAGTGCCATTGCCATCTCTCAAAACCTAGTGCATCATTCTCGCACTAAGCACATTGATGTCAAGCATCACTTCATCAGAGATCATGTGGAAAAGAAAGATATCAAAATTGAGTATATCTCAACTGAAGAACAATTGGCGGATATCTTCACCAAACCACTAAGTGAAGCCAAGTTTTCCGATTTGCTTCACAAAATTGGTCTAATTCAATTAGACTGAATGTAGTGCACGTGGCAGTTCACTTTCCACGTCTGTCAAAATGATGGGTGGGAACGTGGCCTTGGGAACAGTATCGCCACTAGCCGCATAAATTGCCCACATTAAAACCCAATCGCCACTATTCAGATCTCAACCGCCCACTCAAAAATTCTTCGTCATCTTCTTCGCGAAAAATTCTCAAAAACCTGCAAGAACCCTAAGCCTTTATTTCTCAAATTGTCACCCAAATTTCTGAGAAAATGAAGGTTGTCGGTGCAAATGTCCACTTTCAGAAGTTAGAAGCCAAGTGCTCATCTCCAACATTCTTCCAAAACTATCTGCAGATGATAGCTGCTCAAGAACTCTCTGAATTTCTTCAAATGGAGATTCGCCTCAAATTCGAGGAAGAAGTTCTTGAATTCTACTGGAACATCATTGGAATTTCTGGGCGAACTCCTTCTGGCCCAGCAAAGAAAGCAGATCTGAACAACGATTACAAGTTGATTATGGAACTGGTCATCGCCTGCCTCGAATGTGGGAGTGGAGGTCATGCCGATGACATCACCCAGGAGAGAGCCTTCATCATCAACGCTCTCATTACCAAAACTAAGGTAAACTGGGCTGCACACTTTTTCAATTCCATCTCAAAGCATTTGGGAAAGCCCAACCAGAAATATCTTTGTCAAGGACTATACCTTGGACATATCTTGGAGTCTATGGGTATTGCTTCTAAAGGAAAGAAGTAT